CTCATCTTTTAGCTGAAAATTAAGTACCTCGTTGGAACTGCACCAGTGAAAACCCTCTTATCGCATTACGTGTTACACATTTCATTGAGTTCTACATAGTATTAAATCCCGGTCTTCCTAGCGATTTCCCCACTAAATTATTTAATGAATTGGTGTGATACAAAGATTCCTTTAAGATCGCTTTGGTTCTCTATTTGAAACGCGCATTTATTTTGAGATACTTTCTAGTGCAACAAGTCTAATGGCACTCTGCTATTTTCCACCGGTGAGTTTAGCTTTGAGGAAAGCGCTCATCGTGCAACACAAATGGGTTAATTCTGGTACGCATTTGGTACTTTTTCTCAACCCGACGGCTTAGGCACACTGTTTTGAAGCTTTCCGTCTACGTTTCCGAATCGTGTGCTTGGTTAAACGATGCTATGTTTACAACTAAACTTGAAATTAGATAAATGCTACATTGTTTCCATTTCACTGATTGTCGGCACTCCACTAGTTGCGTTGAGATGTGTCGATCAGCCTTTGTCATTGATAATTTACTACCCACAAGCGACCTGCGGTGCCTTCGCTCGAATCTTGTTCACACTACGCAGCATTGCCTAGCTGCTCTAACGTGGGCTCCGGTGGTGTTACATCTGCATTTTTAATGACGTGGTCCTTTGTCGTTAACTGCTTATGAGAAGGATGAATTCTTAATTGGTACATTCCAGTTTCGGTGCGATTGGCACCGTTTTTTAGGCTGATACGTGTAACCCGTTGACTACACATTAAAGACGGTATAAAATGTTTCGGAGTTCTTTGCCTTATAAATATGTCTTAATGAGTACAAAGTCTCTTTGTTCATCCTTTTTTGGACAATCCGTATTTTCAAAACGCTTTTCTGTTGAAACTAGAACCACTAGCTTTTTGTTTTCTAGAGTAAACATTGATGTTAATGAGCAGCTTTCTCTGATTAGTTGGAATGTAGGTAACAGCATGCGTTCGTTTTAACAAATGTGATAAAAAAAGGATTTCTTGAGTGTTGGCAAATTCAGTAGGCCACAGAAACTGGAACGGCTCTTACGTGCTCTGCAGATTTTATGCGGCATCAAGAATTGTTGACTTTTACATGGCACACTGATAACATAATGTGATTGTACCATGGTTTACCAGATTTCAAGCAACCCTAATTACCCGTGCTATCATCTGCTGCAACTCATACATTGCAACAGACTAAATGGTCACTAGCTCATATTGTCCAAATCATACATATCATATAGACGGAAAATTTTCTCACTGAATATCTACCATAAATGGAATTTTTCCCAGTATCTGTTAATTCAGGTACTACCTTAGCTATTTTCAAAGATCGTGCAGACAATGCGCTGGTACCCTTACACCACATCATGTAACACACGTGAACTATACTGATATTCAGAAAACCAAACCGCCTCAACTACACCCTTTTCTGTGGAAAAGCAGAGGCAATGACATTTCAAAGAGCATAGAACCATACGTAAATGATACGCTAATAAACATTCTCTCCGTAAGTACTTTTTTCGTTTTTTTCGCCGTTTGTAGTGGTTTTACTTTCCCATCATCCTGCGGGACATGATGACCTTCGACATTGTTTTATCCGCAATATGCCACTGACCATTGACATCCAGCTTGTTGACTCACAGGTACCTGGCTCTGTCACTCGGAGCCAAATTCGCTCACTACACTCATCGACACGATTTCATCAGTGTGGCTTTTTAAACTCAACTGGCAAAACCGCCTCTGAACGTTATGCGATTGTCCGCCTAATTTCCCAATAGTGTTAGAACCAGCTTTTTCTAGTCGCCAGTACAAAATTTGGTTCGTCTTTTGTCCTCAGGTAATGATAGGCATGTGTAAGATTAACTAGCCAGGTTAACATGATTGACTGCATTGAGTGGCCACTGACTGACAGCCCAGATATTGCATCTCGGTCCCACTGCAATTAAAATGAAACCAATCACACACGAGCTTCGTTTGTCCCCTTTGGTTTCTTTCTTTTGATCATGTGAGTGCAGTCCAGTTACAATTATCAACAGTTGGACTAATTATTTTTCCCCATTGTGGTTTTTCAGCCGAAAATTGCCTTATGCTGCAAAATTCCATTCAGCTTTTGCGTGACTGACTTGTGGCCACCTGTAGCTGTAGCGATATTATACCAGCCACTCTTTTTATAAACTTCTGTCTACTCTCTCAAGCAGAACCGCTATTCCTGTTCTCTACTACATCTTTTATTGGACCACTTTTGTAGATCGCGGTTAGTCTCCAAGGTGCGGTATTTGAAAAGTTGATTTCCACGCCTCGACTTTATGCAGCCGATGGCTTACTTCAGTAGATAAATTTCAAGTCCACAATCAAATTCGAACTCAAACATGCCATTATCTTCTTTGATACGGTTGGGGTCGCTCTGGTGACAGATAACGCATTGAATTAGTGAAGGTTGCAAATTTTATTTTTAACCCCTCCACTGTGTGTACCAATGCATGCCGCAGTTTGATGGTTCATTTGGAGTTCCCTCAGGCGTCGATGCATGGTTCGATACAAAGCACGAAGAGTTAACCTTTTGAGTCCTGAATTAATTCACTTATAACTTGACATGAACCACAAAAGTTTACTCCACACTCGGTAGCGCAACCTATGGGAGTTGTGGCCCTTACTTAATTGTTAACAGAGGGCTATTTTACGTATCCTCGCGACTACCGACAGAAATGACGCTTGCACTGAAACAGTACTACAATTCAAACAAAGTGGCACTTATATGTACCGCCAGGACACGAAGTGTAAAACTGGCATACATCATGTCCGAGAGCAGCTGCAGTTATGACTCATTTCAAGGTTTCAAGTTGTGTTGCTCCGGAAACTTGCATTGTCTCTTAAGTGACCTTGACCTCAAGTTGAATTGTTATACTGTCACGTTCTATGGCCTATTTTGGTATGAAATTCCATAGAAGAGTTCATCGATTAGATGGACTGCAGCTCTGTTATTCGACTCGATGTCTGGTAGAGAAAGAGCGGTTGTGAACACTAAACTTTGTGATCGCGGAAGCATTGACTCATGTAAAGCCGCTTCGTAGTCACTCGCAGTTCTCTGGCGTTGCTCCGTGTAGATGCAAAATGTTTTCTCACCTGAAGCGTTCCACCCATCACAGCCTTCTTACTGGGAGGGAGTGCGGCGTATCCACATTTCTTGACCTAGAGTCCTTCACATACTTCGGTCTGTTTGGTGATTTTTTGAATAAATCAGTATACTTATCACGCTTAGACGTCCAAGAGCATAAGACTACTACTTCGCGTTACCATAAACCTAGAACTGTTGCTACCGGCCACCTTTCATTAGCAGATCACTTACTTACCTAAAAGTTGTAATTTTATCACTTTAGAGCTAATCGCATATATTCTTTTTAGACATCAGGGTACAATGGGATTTATGTGACACCGGTCGATCTGCAACGAATTGCACACCTAACGATTCACTATGACCTGTATTACGGTAACTTTCGGTGATGGGTTATTAAGCTTGAATGACCTTAGGGAATTGCTGGTCAATCTTCACATACAGCGCCCTGCTCATACCGGATGCGTAGAGTCCACCTAATGCTACTGCAACAGAAAATCTGTCCACCTTGAACCGTCAGCGCTGGTCAGTGCACATTGTTCGGATACCTCTTGAAAGTCCACTACAACATGTTTTGTTGCCCATTGTTGCTCTGATCTGATTCAGCCTCCTGGTTACTAGTTGTCTGAAAAACCCGCATTATGAAAGCAATTTATGATTTGAACCGCGTTGATGGGTGTCGTCTCATAGAATCCAAGACCGGGTTTCAATCATCTCCTCATCTAAAACTTCATCGGAACTGATATATTCATCATTACAGTGAACCTCGTATTCTTATTCTCCAATACTTTTACCTGACCAATGATGACTCTATGTCAGCCGTTTTAATCACTGACATTTTGCGATATGACTTCTCGCTCACATTTATAGCATTAATTTTGGGTGTTAAATGATGAGATTAATTAGCATTTTTAGATATGCCACGGTTTGCTTAATAGGTCGTAGCTGATAGATTGAAATGAGTTCACCCAGGACGCATTCTTCTAGCGTGGTTTCCCGAATGAAAGTGCATTAATGCCCCTGGTAATAACTCAGAGGACTTGCGAAACACCAGTGTCAATGTTATTAGCTCCACTGCTTCTCTTAGACTTGATAAAGCGTTTTTTGACCAATCAGATAAACTAACTAACCAGGATACCATAATTCAGCTTATTCATCATTGTCACTCCCAATCAGCAGGCTTAGGCTAGTCTAGGAAAGCACCAAACGCTGGCGTTTCGACCTTCTGGGTCTCGTCCGTGGTGTGCCTCTCATCGGACCCCTGCCGGCTTCCACCCCCATGACTTCAGGATGCCAGCAGCTAGTGCCACTTCGCCATGGGCGAGAGCTGTGGACCTGTGTGATTGACAATCGACTACTCATCCGTAATCAGGACACGTCGTAGCGTTTACTGTGTAAATCTAATTAGTGGGTGCTTGGCTCCCACTGGGCCAACCAAATCCTGGGCATTCATACACCGCGGGTGCAGGTTTGCACCCGCACGTTTGCAGGCCGTTTCAGTGATTACGCGATACAAATTACTAATTCGCTCGAGCTTAGCGTGATTCAATGGAGACACATTGGTGCTCACCGTTCAGTGCCAAAGCCATCTAATTGACCTCAATTATTCAGTGGATAACAGCGCTGATCAATTGGGTCTACATACATTTTGTGGTACAGCTGGAGGTAACGTGTCTTTCTTTGTATACTCATTAAGTTCCTGTTGTCTTTGAGGGATGAATTCTCTCTCAGCGTCCCATAGTAATGGGGCCGATTCCCTTGCTGTTGAACGGGCACCACTGCCCACATTTGATCAACTGAGAAAGCATTTTATTTGTTCCCTCCTCCGGTTGTTTCCTATCTCCTTTTTTTACCTTCGATACCCTTTGTGCAGGAAGATGCCACGTTGGCTGGGCCTACGTTCTAACCTGCTCCGGTGGATTGCTCACCCTTTTCTCTGCAACATTGCCAATCATTTTTCCAAAGTCGAATACCAACAGGGCCAATCTCAATAGAAGTCAAGCAGGGCATAAACTCCCTGCATATTCCTCCAGCCGCCGACGAACATTTCTGTGCTGTTGGCCCCCTACAGATAACACCTCGCAATCCATACCCATTGACCGATTAGGTTTCTTTCCGGCCTATCAACACTCACCCGCAAATTCACTTGACACGCAGTCCCTTATCTACCAGCCGTCATTGGCCAACAGGCCGGCGAGCGTAATTTATATGACTAGGCCTGATGGTGTCAGTACTACCGGATCGGCGTCTCCTGTGGCGAGTCTGCTAAACCATCATTTGGATGCCGTTGGGACAGGAAATGACGACACGGCTGTCAAATTGCAGTCCACGACTTCCCTGAATAAACTGGCGAGGCCCTCGTTAGCCACGAAGCCACCGATAATGCCCCCTTACTCCTATGTATACAACTACGTCCCTCAGCGTTACAGTACTGGTGCACTGTTTGGTCACTTCCACCCTCTGAATGGAGTCCATCTAGCTCATCCTGCAAGTCAACGAGTTAGTGTCACGGTGAATACAGATCCGCTCATTTATGTGGCCGAAGAGGACGAAGCAGATGCGGCAGATCCCAGCCAACCGGCTTCCGTGGTTCAGTCAGCTACTGAAAAGCCGGTGGATGGAAATGCAGAGGTTAGTGGTTCACATTATTTAGCTTACGACATTCTCTGGCCTAACGGTTACGACTTTATCACTTTTGTACAATCGTTTCGACATCCGTGAATCAGGCGGCAATGAATGAACCATATTCAGCCTTGAACTTTTACAAAGTGGAGAGCGGGAGATCCACATTAGAAGATTTAGATCCGCCGTTACTCGTATTCATCTATCCACTTCAACTTTTACACTTGTTTCTGTATATGCGAATTCAACGGTGGCAAAGTATTCATGTGGCTTTCACAGTTCCTCAGACACCTCATTCAACTACAACCCGGGCATTAAATTGACGGGGATCACATTAAAATGGCCGGCGTCACTATGTTGGCATAGTATAGCAAGGGGAAGGAAACTAACACAGAAATTGCGCAGACTTGAAAAGGAGCTATACTAGTGGGGTGTCCCTTAATCACGCGTAACATTTAATAATTGTAGGCAGGTGACCAATTTGAATTTAACAAAGATCTATCGGAAGTATCTACCAGCAATTCCAATTCACATTGATGCGTTCCCGAACATTGTTTTTCCGCTGTTTGACTGGATGGTTTGCGCTTATCTGAGCATAGATTTAGAGTTCGTTCGTTCATCACAGGGCATTTTAGCTAACCCGAACGTCCTCTCATTAAAACATGTTCTGTTCTTCGTCATCTTAGGGCAAACGCTGAGGTCTAAGTCAATGATTTTTGACAGAGAGACTTACTGCTTGTCGTCAACTGATGCAGTGCCTGATGTTTCTGCGTAAGTGACGCCAAATTTGGACTATGTGATGTGAATGAGAAGCGAGGCGTCAGATGCTACACAAGCACACAAATGTAAGACTAGTGACAAGCCATTCAAAATGGCTTGTCACTTGTCTGCCGTTTCAAATTTGAGGCATTTTCTGCTGAAATGTAAGACTGTCTAGCTGAGCTATATCTTGCTAGTTGTACTCCTTTCTGTCGACAGGAATGGCGCTTGAAAGTTAGCCCATTTTACCAATCAGCTTATGTAGCTAAATCTGAAAGCCTACACTCAACATCTTTCGCGGACTTAACCACTTGCATTTTGATCTACATTAGCGTTCCAAGTCATCCGATAAGACTGCGACCTGCGAATTACACCACTGTTCCAGGCTACCACTTGGCTGCTTTGCAACCATTAGCAGCTGTCCAGGATTTGGGATACTGCGGAGGAGCTCAAAGACATTTTCTAGAAAGGGCAATAGCCCAAGATGTAAGAGTTACATGCCGAAGTCTCGAACTGCTACATCACAGATCTCCCATTGACAATCAAGGTCCATCTGAAAGCGACGTAACGAAAAACGATGGCACTTCCATCTAACCTTTTATAAGATTCAGGGTATAGGCGACCTGGTAAATTTCATTATGCTACGTCTTTTAACACACTGAAGAGCCACTTCTCTTGATAGGCTATTCAGTGTAGTTATAATGATCGTCCATGATGCATGATGTGCCACTCGATTTAGTGATATTTCAAGTATGCGAATGCCAACCAAACCATCGCAACGAGACTAAATCTTAGCGTGATGTGATGACTTGCACACTCCGTGACCCATTAAGCTATGCTGGGTAACACTTTCCAAGCGCTTTCGGAGCCACTCATACCAGACAAATCAATGCTTAGGGTCAGACTAACGCCATTTCACAAGGCAATTCTCTTCGGAGGTTAGTGAGAGTTCTATGGCTCTCTTCCGTTAAAATGTAGCCATGGTAGACAAGTCACGGGTTATAAGCGCACAGCTGGATTGGCGTAGAACACAAGCGCCACACATTTTATCTGACGATGATTTGCTACCGCCCGCCTCAAGCCAGACAGTCTCTGGACAAATTGTTGCAACCCCGCCAACTCCCACCTGCTCCTGGCCATAATCGCAGGTGCGTAACGCAATGCGATCGTAAAACATATATGCGTTGTTCTAAATCTTCAAAGGTTGTTGTGTAACGGGCCTCAAGCTTCTCCCAATGGGTATGTTCAATCACACTCCGAACCTGGACTTGCTCCCCACTTCCTTTTGAGTCAGGCTTTTGAGCCAAATGCCTTCGGTGGAGTCCCTCAAGCAAATCTCCATGTGCTCCTTGTCTTGTGCGTCAGAATGTGGAGTCCAAGGCTAGAGGTATGGCATCTCAAACAAGATCCCTCTCTCGGAATTGCATCTGGAGAACTCAACTGCCCTTTCGACCACTTAATCAGTACTCTCACTTCTTCTCCCCTCTCTACCCCCTCACTTCTGTCCATTTATGGAGCAACAGACTGTCACTGGCCTCCTAGCCGCCGCCATCGATACATATAGCTCTTCTATCAAGCCTAGATTTTCATTACCAATTTGTTCTTTTAGCGCCCGCACTCTAGGTCAGATCGATCAGCAAGCAGCATTCACCCCTCACTCTCCAGGTATTGATCTGTACTGTCCCTGAAACACGTATACAGCATAACGGGTTTGTCACAGATCTTCGAGTCCCTGGTTCTGGTTCTAACAACGATGGCTACGTTATTTGCGTCTGGTGATACTGAGTCAACGGCTCAACGTATTTATGGTGCAGGTATTATCCTCTGCAAACAGATTGAAGGCAATCTGCTCCACTGAATATCGGTGAATAGCCGCATGTGCGTGGTTCGTTAATCATAATGACAATAATACTAGTAATAACAAGCAGTGCCTAAAGACAAGGTGCCTTTCCATCGCCTCAGTTTATACCTCCACTGAATGCAGTTCAGAGAATATCAAATACTATTTCTATCGACAGCACTCATCTTTTCTTTGCATGGCGAAGAATACTGACATCGTGGTTGTTGCTGGTGACACGAATGCCCAAGAGGGTTATCTTTCTGACCCTGAACGGCACCTGGGAGGGCTCTTCGGAGTCGATGCGCGCGGAACAGATAATGATCATCGATTCCTGCAACTGTGCGCCGACGTCAAGTTACCTTAGCAACATTGCATACCAGCCAATACATTCACATTGCGTCACCTGGTGCCCACCGAAATCCTCCATGATTTGGACCCAAATTGACCATGTTGCCATCAGCTACAGATGGTGTACATCAGTCCAATTCTGTCGGTCAATTTGGAACACGTGCGTGGATTCCTACCATGCTGTGGTGCGCGCACGCTTGGAGCTCGCTCTTCACGCTTTGAAGAAACGTCTATCTACTGCCCGTAAATTGAACTCGCAGTCTGTAGTTCAACAATATCATGACGAACCGGCCGATCAGTTGTCAGTGATGAATGAGATTGGCGAGCCGAGTGCTGACTGGGATCGTCTCAAATGCGCCATGAAGAATGTTTTTGATGCATGCTGTGCACCCAACTTGAGACGTCGTAACTGAATGGAACTCTGAGGCATCCATCCGCTTGATCAATCCACGGAAATAGGTTCCATTGGGCACTGAGTTCAAGTTATCCGTAACTCCCTTAGACGATGTCTGCAAATCCTCGTCAAATTTTTAACTTTCTTCGGTATTTACTGATGAAAATACAGTCAAAGACGAACCAGCAACTTTTGAGCGCCATATCATCTGGATTCATTAATCACGAGCTACAGTAGCGCCTGAGATGTACTGGCTAAACGTCTCCACCATCTCATTAAGTCGCTCTCAACTTGAAGCCTTAGCTTTAGGTTTCAGTTTTTCAGTACCACCAAAGAAGTACAACAGAATAGGGATTGAAGTACAGTTCGAACATTTGTACCAGCAATTGTTCAGTTTGACACCAATCACCGATGATGCATGCGTTTGGTTCAAGGCTGAGGCGGTGGATTTAGCTAACCACTTTTGCTTTGCTGTGACTGAAAATGCGGAATTTTAACAAAGAAACACTGGGAATCATTGAAGAATCTACGCCGGAAAGAGCACGTGCTATTACTGAAAATGGACAACAGATCGGGAGTGGTCATTATGGAAAAACGAGCTTATACTGAGAAAATGCATGTGATTCCTACAGACACTATTCACTTCGTTCGCGATCTAACGGGTCGCGATAGAAGCGAACACGTTGAAAGATCCATAGTTCACGAACTAAAAATGTTACTGAAGCCGGCATTGATTGATACGAAGACCATAACACAACTGCGCCCGCGTGTGACTCGACTTCCTCATATGTATGGTTTGCCGAAGACACACAAGGAGAGCATTCCGATGTGTCCAATCATAACAATATTAAACGTGTCATATCAAAAGCTGGCACTTTAGCTAACCGAGCTGATAGAACCTATCCGATGTGAGCTAGCCGGGTTTACCCTCAAATATATGTTTTAGGTTGTCGACGAAATACGGGGGTTAAATGTAAGTGGGAAATACATGGTTTCTTATGACGTATGTTCACTTTTCACCAACGTCCCACTGGAAGAGACGTTAGACGTCATCAGTGCTCCTGCTGACATAGTTGGGTTTCCAGGACATCGCCTCAAGTCTTTACTCCGTTTGTGTACAAAGAACATACAGTTCCAATTCAATGGAACATTGTACTGTCAGATCGATGGCGTAGCCATGGGTACTCCACTTGGGCCAGTCCTGGCTGACATTTTCATGGGCAATTAAAGCACACGTAACTACGTCCTTACATACAAAAGGTACACCTGTACAGTAGATACCTGGACGACACGTTCGTTGTAATTCATAGCTGTCGACGAACACAATGTTTACTTGAAGTTCTAAATAACTGTCACCCGGCGATCAACTTCGCAATGGAAAGCGAGATGGACGACACTTTCCACTTCCTGCATGTACATCTGAAGAGGAATGAAGTGGGCACACTCAATCGATCTGTGTATCGAAAGCCTACTTGGACAAGACACTATTTGAACTTCAACAGTTTTTGTCCTATAAATTACAAACGAGTATTGGTCCGCTGTGCCTTCGCAAGGGCTCGTAAAATGTGTTCCGAAGATACGATCGAGAGTGAACTAAAAAGCATGTCATCAACATTACAGGAAAACGGATACTCAGCTTGGTTCTTAGCTCGGTATACAAGCACAGAA